ATATTAGAGATCACGTGTTGTGTAGATACCATGCATAATCACATGCCTTAGGAGAATCATGCATCCTGCACCTAGATACCATAGGCTTGTATGCGATAATCTATTGTTGATGAAGCTTGAGTCAATTTCTATGCATTCATAACTTGGATAGGAAAACTAGTGGTGGATTTCAAGGCTCTAACACCTCTCAATTATTGTTTCACAATCTGTCCAGTGTTTACTTTAGAGCAATTTCATTTCACTTTCTTCTTTTCATTTCAACAACAAAACCCCCCATTTTGAGTGCATGTGTGGTGCTAGGATTCTGTCCTAGACCTTGAGTAATTAGCAAGAGGCATTGTTGAATTCGACCTTGCCTTTAGCTAGTTAGTCAGTTTATTTGTTCTATGTTTTTCCAGCATTCTAAGTAATTTAACTTGGAACCAAGTTACCATTCTCTGTGGGATCGACCTCGTATTTACATAAGCTATACTATAAACGGTTCGTGCACTTGCGAGAATTAAAGTTGCTGTTTTTAATAACTCATTTTAGTTGTTAGGAATTGAGACAACAATGGCTTAAGACCTTATATCAGCTTCGTGAAAAGTGGTGTCCAGTGTTTAGCCTAGATACTTTCACTATCAGGATCAAAGCTTCTCAAAGAAGTGAGAGTATGAATAATGTTTTTTTTTAATCATATGTGTACTAAAACAATAAGGCTTACTGAACTTGTGCATCATTATGATAAACAAACAAATGGTATGCAGTCACGAGAGTTGGAAGAAACTTTTCGATACAATCAGGGATTACCTTCCAGAGCTGCCATAGAAAGTGGACTTTTGCTTCGTGCTGCTAATATCTACACCATAAAAAAATTTAAATTATTTGAAACTGAGGTTATTGATAGTTTAGCGGTAAGAATGCGTCAAACTGGAAGTGATGGAACACTCTAAACTTTTGAGCTTAAAGAGGAGGGTCGCAAAAGAGTGCATGTTGTCCAATTTAACTCTTTAAATTTCAATGTCTTATGCAGTTGCAAGATGTTTGAATCCATGTGTTTATTATATCGTCATGCTCTAAAGGTGTTGAATGTAAAAGAGGTTACTAAGATACCATCTCAGTACATATTGAAGCGGTGGACAAAAGAAGCAAAGAAAGGATGGGATGCAAATGAGCATGGAGAATCTTTACAAGTAAGTGATAAATCATCAGTGATTTTGCGTCCGAATAGTCTGATGTGAATGGCTTATGATATATTGAGTAAGGAAGCGGAGACAGATAACACTCATAGAATTGCAATGCAAAAATTGAAATAAATGGAATAATTGATTGAAAAATATATGTTGAAGTCTAAACCAGTTGGAACTTCTAATGAAGAAAGCAATGGAGTACTAAAAGAGGATAAGTAACACCAGATTAAAACCTAGTTTTGAGAAACGAAAGAAGAAGACATCACTCTCAAATAAGAATTTTTTTTATTGGTTATTATTCCATCAATCTCTTCTAATTTATTATTATTTATTGACTAAAAGAATAACTGTTTATTATTTGCTTGTGTATAAAAAATTAAACAACCAAGAAAAGGAGGTTCTTCACAAACCTAACTTCACGCGCCCAATTATTTAAGTATGACTTTGCCAACAACGAATGGCCGTTTTCCTCCATCTAATCAGATAATCTAATTTGTAAGTTTGAGACTTATCTTTGAGATTTCAATTCTTTGTTTAATTGCGTAATTATTTTCTTATAGGATTCCAATTTTAGTTGGTCATTTAGTCAATCAAATGTTTCCTTCGCCAATATGCTTTAGGATCAAAATTATTTGGCACATTTGAATCAAGATTTTTTTTCCACTGGTTTTGAGCAACATCAGGATCCAAAGGAATAATGCATGTTGATAGAATGTTGGTTGGGTACTTCAAGGGAGAGGCTTTCTTGTTGTCCTATGTCATTAGAACTTTGAAATGGTGTATCAGATCATGTGACTTGTGTTTTTTTTCATGTGAGACTATGTGTTTGTAAGATTATATTATAATTCCAGATATTATTATATGTCAAGTGTGTTTGTTTTTTATAGATGAAAGATCTGTTTCAATCAAGTCAAGAAAATTCTAACAAGACTTTCCCTTTTGAAGCCAGGCACTTGAAACTGTATGAATCACAAGAGTTTTCAATGAAAATTCTATTGGTGTTATGCACAAGACTCTACATTACAAATATGAAAAACCCATACACACAGACACCTGAGAGGCAGGCTATAGACCCAAAATGCTGGGACAAAACTACAAAAGAATCATATGTTGATTCTAACATGACTTTTTACATGGTACTTTTGCCCTTCAACATCAACACCATAAACTAGAAATTCGTCTGCATAGTTAGCAAGAAAGTCCAATATTTCCTCATCAAGATACACATCACTGAACTTTTGCCATCTATCTGTAACAATTGCATATTTGCCTTCCTACAGATTAAAGTAAATGCACATTAAGGCCAACACGTAAAAGCGCAAGAAGTGAGGCAGTTGAAAATGCTCAACGAGAAAATTAAAAGCAACAAAATCACTTTAATAATAATTAAATATTGATAGTTTTGATTCTTAACATATGCAATTGTCTCATAAAATTGTTAGTCTATTCATATCACATATCACAAAGAAGCCATATAAAAATTGCTCAAGAATCAAGTAAATAAAAAGTCTGCTTAGCCCTTAAAAAAAACATAAATAAGAACAAAGGAGGTTTAATTTTTGGCTGGCTTTCTACCCTCTTTCTGCATTTAAGGTTTAAAACAAGCCTATCTTTTCCAACAACAGAAACAAGGTCTTTAAGCCTTTCAAGGTCCATTTGCTCATTGTTGAATACATACTGTAAGTTTTAAAGATGTCATCAACTATAGAGATTAAAGTGAAACATCCCACTCCCAAGGCACTCAAATTGCTTGACAATCTTATTTTGTGCAATAATACTGGGAAGCTTATATTTTTGTAGAGCATTTATTGATGTCAATCCTTCCAAGCCTACTGATGCTAAGTTTCGTTTTCTTTTAAAAAAAATCCACACTCATTTCTAACCACTTAGTAAACTTAAATTATATTTGCATTAGAGCCAGTTGCATTTTATTGAAACTAAGAGAACAATCCAAAGAAGCACTTTGCATAAATTACTAAGGGGATAATTATTAGAAGACTACTTCCAATCATTTGAACACATTAACAGAATCTACAATAACAAGAAAGCAACCATAGACCTACCAGGATAGGCATGCAGAGCTTCAATGGCTGCAGCTTGGCTCAAAGAGTCAGCTCCAAGCATGACCGCATGACCACCTGTAAGGCCATCTTCATCATACATCTTTGCATTCTCCGTCACTGACTTATCTGACACAAAATTAGCAACAAGAGCAGACTCATCCGCCTTCGAATCCGGAAGGGTAGACCCAACAATTTGTTTCACTTTCCCCTAAAACCAAATCAACATAACAAGTACAGAAAATCAACAAAACACAAAAACATAAATGGGCTAAATACACACATATAAGAAGATGAGAAGACCAATAACCATACCACTATTGGAGCGAACCCCTAAGAATCCAAAACCAGTGTTCTCTCCAATCCCAAACCCAACACTTCCAAGCGCACCCAAAACCCCATCAACTACTCACCCAACCCTCACTCTCTCCCCAACTTCTAACCACACCCATCTCCTCAACTTCCTTAAAACCCATATAAAAAACCTATCTCTCACACCAAAAACCCTCCTCCATTTCCTCAAGTCCAAACCTAGAAACTGGAAATTATTAGAAACCGAGGAAAAAGATGACCTTGATGGCTGTCGGAAGACTTGCGCTACAACTTCATCGTCCATGGTGACTTTTCGAGTCATACTAAACACCATTTCAACCCCAATCTTCCTCAATTCTCTCTTTTGTTTAGATTGTGCTTTGAATTATAATAAGGGGGGAGTTCGATAAATTTGGAGAACAAAAGAGAGAATTGAAAAATAAAAAATTGGAAGACTCCCGATGTAGCAAAAGCTTTACAGAGAGACAGAGTTAAAAGTCTAATGGAAGAATGCTAACGGAAAAAATAGTTAAAAGGCTAAAAATGAATTATTACACGTGTCTCATTCCTATTGGCAGGTACACCAGCCAGTTGGTATATTGGGTACCTACAAAATTTTCTCCAAAAAATGATGCCATGAGGGTTCGAGCATGAGATCTCTGATTTGCAAATCAATGTCCTTTTACACTGGACATTGGCAACTAATCCACACTTAATCTCCCACTAACATGATTGTTTTTCTTTATTCGAAGTTTTAAACTTGGGAGAATTTATTAGCACTCCATTATTTGCTCTTTGCACCCCATACTAATTTTAAACATAAATAACATATTTTATCATTGTACATAATTACCGTTAAGGACAAAAAACATTTAAAATAAAAATTAAATTTGCTCACTACACCCCACATATGTTCCCGCAACCCTAGTTAGATTTTTTTTTCTCAAACCATCATGTTCCTTCAACCCTAACGAGATTTATACTCTTATATTGGTGAAAAAAATATCTTGTATTTATTCATGAAGGGTGAAACTAAAGTTAGAGAGGCTTTGAATGAGGTATGAGTTTATTTTTTGGCGTTTTTCAAGTTTAGAATTTCATGATGGTCGCTGGTTTCATTCAGCACATCAGTACCGAATGCGATAAGTAAATTCGGTAAGATGCCACTGAAACATTGCACCTATTTCGGTTATGTTTGACCAGCCATCATGAAATGGTGTTTATGGTGTATTACTGAATTTTTACCTACAATTTAGTGGCAACGAACAGAAATATATTTATTTTTTCAATAACTTATTGTTGACCACAAATTTAATGCAACCTATTTTGACCTTACTCCTATTGAAGGAACAAAAAGAAGGTGACGCCCATACTGAAGGCAATAATGTTGGAACATAATGTGTAATAGACTATAGTGATCAATTCACAACTTATTTGGTAATTATTTTGATTTTTTCTGTATTCGAAATCCTTTTTAATATCATTAACTTGGCATTAATGTTTCAAATTTTAACTTTAAATAACATGAATTTAATGTGTAGATATTCAATGGTAGAGATGCATTAATTAAATGGACTCGTACACAAGGAAAAATAAATAATATTGTAATTGTAATTAGAAGGTCTGATTATGGAGGTGAGGGCAAGAGGAGACCTCGAGTAATACTTGCTTGTGAGAGGAAGCAGTAACTATAAGTCTTGCAAGTCTAGTGAGACAACTAATGTAAGGTCGAATGCAAATGGTAATACCAAAAAGTGTGCTAGGGACACTGGTAGCAAGAAATGTGGATGAACATTCTTGTTAAAAGGTGTCAATATTGGTGATGGGGATGATTGGAAGTTGGAGGTGGTTTGTGGAGTACACAACCATGCTATTTCAAAGTATCTTCAAGGTCATTCATTTGTGAGGTGATTTTTTGAAGAGAAGAATGCCTTGTTGGTAGACATGTCTAAGATTTGGTGAAACCTAGAGATATTTTGGTCATCCTGAAAGATAGAGATGCAATGAATGTTTCAACTATGAAGACAATATACAATGCTAGGATCCGAAATAGAACCAAAGAATTCGTTGGGAGAACATAGATGCAATCTCTATAATATCCTCAAAGTGATCTTAGGGAGCCGCTCTATGTCTCCTCTTTGAGGCTGTGGGACGTTGTATATTAGGTTGAGATGATGAAGCCTCAATAGTACCTATGTGAGTCATCTTCATATCTAAAAAACAATATTAAGTACAAACTCATCAACGAATTCGGTAGATGACCATTGAAACAAGAAACGAATTCAATAGACTACCACTGAAAAATGGAAATAAATTCCGTGGACAACACTGAAAAGCTGAAACAGATTTGGTGGACTACCACTGAAAAACATAAATACATTCGGTGGAGAGCCATTGAAAAACGAAAACAAATTCAGTGAACTACCACTGAAACAAGGTAACAATTTCGGTGGTAACCCACCAAAAGTAACATCTATTTTCGTAAAACCAGATTCGAACCATACATCCACAAAGTTGAAATCAAAATTGAAATCAAACCTAGGCTTAATCAACACGCAGAAATATAATTATAGAAATCAAAATTGAAATTGAAATCAAACCTAAACCAAATTCGAACCATACATCCACAAAGTTGAAATCAAAATTGAAATCAAACATGGGCTTAATCAACACACAGAAACATAAATATAGAAATCAAAATTGAAATTGAAATCAAACCTTGGCTTTTCAAAGGATTTTGAGGTCAGATGGGTTTGTGAAAAATGGTGAGATCGGCTAGCTGCGATAGAGGTTTACAATGGGGTTGAGGTCTACAATGGGTTTTGTGTTGGGGTGTGCGATGACTCTGTTTCAAATGGGATGGGGTGTGCGATTGGGGTGGGGGTTTGCGATGGAGTCTGTTGCAAATCGGATTGGGTGTGCGATGGGGTGTGTCTACAAGATAAGGGGATTTTCGATGGGGTGGTGCAGTGACAGATCCAGGATTCAAAAGTCAAGTAGGCAAAACCTATCTTAAAAACTCAACGGTACAAGTGAATTTCATTCATAAAAATAAAAAGATACACCTAGTCGGGGGAACATAATGAGCCTTACTCTCAAATATGCTTCTTTATATATAAATAAAAGCTTAACAAAAATAAACTTAAACAAATAAATGCAATGCAACGCAACACTAAACTATTTAAATCTAAAACTTTACCCCAAATGATAATTTATTCATAATTAAATCCTAGAATACTCAATTTCAAATTAAAATTAAAATTAGGCTTAATATCACAAAATGTCGCTAAGGTTTACGAAACTATCAGATTGCATCCTTTTTTTTTTTTTTGTCATTCATGGTCCTCAAGGTTAGTATATGTGATCACAAATGGTCCCTACCGTTAGGTTCCGTCAAAACTCCGTTAGTTTGCTGACGTGATATATATCAACAAACTAATGAAGTTTTTTAAAAATAATTTAAAATTCATAAAATTCAAAAATGAAAAAACCATTTATATAATATTTTAACCTTGCGGACCATTTATGAACCATAAACCCTTGGTTTTTTCATTTTTAAGTTTTATGAATTTTATATTATTTTTTAAAAACTCTATTAGTTTGTTGATGTGGCATATATGTGGAGCCCACATCTTCAATAATATAGTGTCACGTGTATTTAAAATACAATATATAATTTCAAATTCATAAAATTTAAAAAAGAAAACCAAAATTTTATGAATTTTAAATTTAAAAATTTTGCTGGGACCATTTGTGATAGGTGTGTGAACCTCAGGGATGTTTTGTAATATATATATATATATATATATGTATATATATGTCACGTCAACAAACTAACGGAGTTTTTTACGAAACCTAACGGCAGGGATCATTTATAATCACACATACTAACATTGAGGACCACGAATGACACAAAAAAACATTAAGGATGCAATATGATAGTTTCGTAAACTTTAAGGACGTTTTGTGATATTAAGCCGTAAAATTAAGATGCATACCTTTATTTTAGGAAAAACTCAATAGAATAAGGTAATTAAATAGAAGATAATAAGAAGAATACTTGTTGCCTTCAATATGAGAAGATGTTGTTGCCAAGAGAGAAGTTTCTGTCAAGAAGAAACCGCCAAGGAAAAGGATGTAGGACTGTCGACTATTACATAGCCGAAAAGGAATTGGTTGCTTATATTGCTTCACAATTTTTTTGAAGTTTGAGTTGACTATAACACATGTGTGTGTTGCTTTTAAGGTTTTTTTTATGTGTTTGGATAGGCATGGGTTCACACCATCACATGGGCTAGGTAGGAATAGTTTTGCTTACATATAAGTTCTTTTTTTCTTTTGGTGAAAAAATTTGGGGTAGGTGGTTGCCTACCTTGCCCTTGCTGTGGGACCGCCCATGGGGTGAGTTTAATATGGGATTGGGTGGGGTTTGATATGTGATGGGATTTACACAGATTAGTTAAGGAATGGGGTTCATGAGGGTAATTTAGGAAGAAAAATGGGGTGTAGTGAGTAATTTTAAATTTTAATAAAATTCAATAGGGTGTAAAGAGAATGTGGGATGCAAACAGCAAATAATGGGATGCCAATAAAATCACCTTTTAAACTATAGCGAGAAAATTTATTTTATCAATTTTAGAATTAAAAAATGTGATTATTTTGTATAATCTCAACTTTGTCTGTTCATGAATTTTTACCATGTGCAGTTTGTGTACGTTTCATATAAAAGAGTCGGTCGAAGTATATCGCATGTGATATTAATATATAAAAAGGTCGCGTCGCTCCAAATGAATTTATAATAGCACAATTAAATAAAACAGAAAAAAGGTGTTCTGATCGAGAAGGCAGCCGGACCAATTGTAAGAATTTCAACGCTTTGTCTCTTCTTTCACACTTCTTCCACACCAGCATCAACAAAACATTTGCATCGAACAATAATCAGAAATTTCGCCAACAAAGCATATCAAAATCCAAAATCCAAAAACTCCATTCGGTAAGAAGCTCTCTAAAGCTACGCAACCCAACCAAACCCAAAGCGTTTACTTGTACGCCACAACAATTTTTCAACCAAGCCTCACTATCTATCCGTAATTTTCTCTACTGGTTTTGAATTTTCATCGACGTAGTCTTGAACTGTAATCAGATTGTTCAGTTCAGCCATGGA